TGATCGATGATGGCATGAAAAAATAAATCGTATTATTATTGAATGTATTGTAGCCCATCTCAAATGCTTCTTAATGCTCTGTAAATCGTGGTTTGCCACACATCAATGTACATTGGCTAAAATGTTAGCCTCATCGTCAGCCCTCATCGATCCACTGCTGGATGAACGCCTTCCTATTTGGGGTTGCTGGGATACGATGGCGTATCATAAGGAACCATGTCCACTGGTCATTGGTTGGCTACGTACGGTAGTGAAAGAAGTTGAACATTCACACAATGTATTGTCTGTTTAAAAAAATAATAACTTATATCACGATTACCATGGTTTGCTTAAACATATATAATTTTATCTCATGTCAGAAGAGTTCTGAAATAACAAGAGCACAATTGTTAAAGTCCTAAATAAATTGCTATTACCCGTTAAATTCCCGCGTAAAGTTACCCAATAATATAATGGAATAAAAAGTTAGGATTTGCATAATGGTCAAGTTTGCTTCCTTTTAGCAAATTCCGTCTTTGGATTGTTTGTTGCATGCAGGAAAAAAACGTGGGAGTGCTCCAGAGAAAACTCTCGAATATGAGGGGAGATGACTGAGGCTCACACACATTGGTCACCAACCCCGGTTCTGTCCTGACGCTTATCATAACCGTGCTGTTCAGAGACATTTCTCAAACACATGATCTCTGCGTAATCCACCAACCCCATTCTCACGGCTCACGTTTCCCAGGCACGCGACACCACAGACCCTTAAAGTTACGTTTTTTCTGCCTAACCAGGTGGGAACTCAAAGAGACCAGGATAAGTGAAAAGTTCAATCGTGATCTGGGGTAAGACGTTTTAAGTTGTCCGAAAATCTTACTCTGAATGGATTCACCGCGACTGTGTGAAAACATGACGCCGTTTACAAGAACCCACACTCCCGAAACTCAATTCCAAGCCCTAAAGTGGACCTGCGTGCTTCCTTAACCCCAGAGATTGTACACAGACAAGACGACGGCGTAGTGGGATTGGAGAGATGAAATCAGAATATGGAATAAGGAAAAAAAAGCAGCATTACGGGAAAGCCTGACGAAAAGAAGGGCATTTGAAAGAAGGATGAAAGGTCATCACCCAGTGGTAGATGGACGGTGGATAATGAAGAAGAATGCATTTATTTGTAATATATTTACTGGCCAATATTTTCCACTGAGGTGGTGCGCATCTCATTCGCCGAGACGTCCGGCCCTCAAAGGGAGGGAGAATTTATTTGGCGAATTATTCATGCTCGGGGAGCGAAATGTGGCCAGACTCAAGAGCTTATTATTAAGCCGCGGTTGTATTTTATCCAGGCCACCGGGGGTTAACGTCGCATTGCTTTCATCCGGGAGAGACACGGGATCTTCAATGTCTGCAGAGGGTGGACAGGACCGCCCTCCCCACTACCCACGCGCCCCCGAAGGGATACGTGTCATCACCCCACACGACTGGCACCTCCGCCAGCAGCCGTGCGGTCGCCACGAGCGGGAGCCACACTTAAAGCGAACCGTAGGAGCTTCAGCCACAAGAGAGGCTTCTTCCGGCACTGAGCGAGGGAATAGATGCTGCACGACCACTGGCAAGTGAAGTGCTCTCGGTCAAAGGTCAACCTTGTCTCTGAACAGGATGCAGTGCGTAGGCTTTCGCGGCCAATATTGATAAGTATTACGAAGCAACAATTTGTTTTATATCACCAGGTGCAAGGCCCACTTGAGCTACACAGCTCTTTTCCCAGAAGCAACCTGGCCATCACACGAAGTGGCGGCTCATCATGCGGACATTGAAAGCAGCCAAATACTCTAAATGCATTCCGATTCTAAATGTGGAGGGAAAAACCGGAGGATCAGGAGAAAAATCCACGCGACCATTGGGTAGAACATACAAACTCCAAATATACAGGTGCCAGGGTCGGGATGCAGCCCACGACGTCCTGCATACAAGGCGAGGGAGTTGACATCTTGCTACCGTGGCGAGGTGTTGCGTCGGCATAATGCCACACAATATCCGAGCTCGCAGTTAACAACCTGACGATGCTGGATGTAATCTCCTGCGAAACGTCGTGTATGAATTGTCAACATTCCATGCGGTTTCGTTCATAAACCAAATCAATGTCCATGTTTGCCCACGTGACAAGTTTATTGGCTTTGTCGGGTGGTGGAGGATTATAGTTAAACATTGATGTTATACCTGCATAAAAATCGAACCCCAAAGGAAACCGGTTACATTAACCGAGGTTTATAAATCTTGCTGCTGCCACTGCAGCAGAATTTACTTGATTTATTGCCACCGTTGTTGGAGCGACTTTCAGGAGCCCCATGGTTTAGCTGTGTGTGGCCTTTCGCTGTGATACCCCACCCATAACATTCAGAGTGGTCTGTAGCTGAGAGCATATGAGCACTTAGGGAAATAAGTTTTTCTTTCTTTCTTCCATGCAGAGGACTGCTTTGTATGCATCAAAGAACGGTTAGAAAAAACAAAGTGAGTAATATCTGTCAATGAGTAAACTTTACTCGATACAAAAACACATTTGCCTTCAGTATCAGATTTTCCAATAGATTCCTTTACAGTACGAGCTATCATGACACAGAACGCATCGGCAAATGTATTCCGAATGTGATATTTGAATTATGTCGTGCCAAGAATGAAACTTTGTTTCGCGAGCTCTCTTTTGTCGTCAAACAAATGTTCAAGTTTTACATTTATGGTACTCGTCGTCACGTAATGAGTGAGGATCTCACAGGGCTGTGTGTCCCATCTGTCAGTGCAAGCGCTCGCAGAGGCAATTTTTCTCAAGAATTATTCTGAAAACGGACTTCAAGCGGCCGTCTTTTTTGAATTATTAACATAACACGTTCATACCAGCTCTGCTGAGATCGTTGAATGACAGTCTCACCAAGAGTATCGTTATTAATTTTCAGATTAAATTATTCTACAACCGAGTTATATAAGATGCTATTCTCGTGCTGTCACTGGTGGGCAGGCTGAGATCAACAATAATAATACATTAAAGCAAAGGCTAAATGAAAGACACAATTTACAGATAGCATATGAATAACTCAAAAAGATGTGGACAAACAGAGAATAATGAAAAATATTTTCGTTCGTAATTTGCTCTTCCCTCGACTATGGGGTAATATGTCTGTCCTGTGTAGTCGCTGGACATTCTACTTGGCCAGCAACCACTTCCTGACCGAGTACATTTTTTTTGCTCATCAACCCCTTTGCCCTGGTACCTCGTGAGGTACCGAATGGGAGGTACGGGATCAATAATTCATGACGACGACGACAACGGTGACGGTGATGATGATGATGATGACGAGACACTCAACTCAGCAGCTCTTTTATCCCCCCAGGAGGCTCTAATCCCAGGGCCTCCTCTGCAGTGCCGGCTCAGGACGCTGACCTCTGAGCCACCTGGTACCCTCTCACGGAAGGAGTGCGTTAGTTCGACACTTTGCATGTCAGCCTTTTAACTTTACATCGGCTGGGCTATGCGCAACTAAGTTAAAGGCAAATTTAAAATTATGCGTTTTGTTGTTGTGGTTGTTGTTGAATTGGTGCCACGATTGTGTCTGGGCTGCAACCATCGACTTTATGCACTGACGAACCTGGATTTAACGATAGCTGGCTACCTAGATTTGTAGTCGGGATCTGAGGTGTCGGTGGAATGCTTTCGCCCCGTCGATGCGACCCGGCCCACCCGTAGTGGCATGCGTTGCATCAGCAAGGCGGCAAGAGAGGGAGAGAACAAGCCAAGCACAGCACTGACGGAGCGGGCATGCACTGTAATAGCGATAGGGAGAAGCTCAAACACACATTCAATTACTCTTGAGGGCATGTAAGAGTGACAGCGGGAAGTGCTGTAAAACAATATGAGTTACGATGTTCGACATGCAAAAAGCAGCAGCTAGCCGAATTAGCAAACACATTTTAAACTGCACGGCATTCAAGCAAGATTGACCTAAATCTAGAACCAGTGCAATGATGTTGTGCAACACTGAGGAGGATATGGCCTAGGTGATCTGAGCACCCAGTCCATATTAAACCCACGGTCGTGCTTCCATATATTTCCCTGTTTGATAAAATGTGTAGTCGTAATAATAGCAACAAACACACATTGGTAAGGCGCGTTTCGTCCGTAGAGCCCAAATGTGCCATATATGGAAAGCAGGAAGCAAACAGAACCTGCAGGGCAAACGGCCAGAACAAGGGATATGAAGGCGAATCTAAAGAGGTGCGTTACCAAGACAGAATTAAACAGCGCTAACGGCTCTGGTTGTCTTGCTACCCAGAGGCAAAGTGTTCCGTAGTCTGAGAGCTGTACTGTCACAAGCCTGATCACCCTTCAGTAGACAGATCTTCCTGCTAACAGGCAGATATTACTCAAAAGTGACTGGGACAAATTCACGAACATGCCGTGCCTCGTACTGCAAATTATTATCCTCCGTTAAAACTGTAAAAAAAAACATTAAAAAGTAACCATGAATTTTATAACATTAATTTAGTTTCCGTCAGTAAATGCGGCTCTACGTTCACAGAGCTCATTTAAACAGTTCGAAAACTGCTCAGAAAACAGGCGCGCTGGAATTATGTTTGTGTTGGTCCACAACAGCAAGGCACTGGAGTGGAGTGTCAAGAGCGTTGCATGTATCAAAGACAACCATGACCAAGGGAGTTGTGATAGCCAACGTCATTGATCGCTCCATTCGTTGCCACTGCTGTAGTACAGTAGTAGTAATACTAATTGTGACTTGTAACACGGGAGACGCAAGAGTGGTCGTTAACTCTGGAAGGGAGAGAGAGAGGAACGCGGAGGCGCGAGGAACCACAGACAAGGGGCAAAGGCAGCAGCCACGATGTGAGCTCCTGCCAAATTTCCCCCGCCCCAAGCTCTGTGGTCCTCTATATGCTAAGGTGTCATCGGCTAATTATTGGGCGTTTTGCATGCATGTGGGAGGAAGCCGGAACACCCAGAGAGAGCTCACGTGTGGCGAGGGTACCCGCTATCCCATCCGGACGAAACAGGTGGAGTCCACATTTTCCGTACCGCCTTCTCCTGCCAAGCCCAGGGCACGGCACCTCCTGGACGCCCACGAGAAAAGAGTTTCACTGCCTCCACGGTGCTGGATTGCTACAACAACAACAACAACAACCGCCATTCGCCACCAAGTGGCGGTGACGTCACCACGGCGCTCGTTCCAAGCTACGTGCACGTTGAGGCCACGTGAAGTGTCGAACGCCCGCTGGCAGGAGGTCACGGGACAGACCCAGGTGCCACGGGTTGACTGACCGAGTTGGCTGGCCGATGGATTGCAGGCCACTTGCATAGCCACCACTGCCCGACTCCATTGATTTTTGCTAGATCTCACAGCTTTTGCACATCGGACATGTGACACTATCACCCTCTGGCTCCGGATCTTCTCATTGGTCGCCGACAACTGGGCACCACTCCGATAGCCGTCTTCGCGACCTGACCTCCATCTACAAAAAAAAAACATTCCCTCCCCGTCGTTCAATTCCACCAACGGATGGAATTTTGTTTATTTTGCACGACGCGAAAAGTGTAGATAAATAAGCCTCCGTTCTTTCCCATTACTAGCAGCACAGGAGGTGATAAAAGTGACGGTTTTTCGAAAAGCATGCCCTTCCAATGTTGTTTATTACTTTGGTAAGTGCTCTGAGGGTCTATTCATCTATCTAAACAATGTTAATTAGACAAGGTGCAGCAGCAATGTATTAAGCTTCCACTGAGCGAACAAAACACCCATTTTTAAAGTGCACGCGTCTAGACTGTGCGGGGAGCGCAGGTTCACGGCAAGTGCCTTCTTAGAGCTCGGATGCACAAAATATCACAGTAACTTTTTTTCACATACCAACCCGCACTGACCAGCCTGGTAAAGTATGGTCAAATAACCCTCAAGATCTGCAGCCAGCAGTGGATTACTCCTCCCCCCTTTCTTACCGAGATAACCTCCTGCCACGGCAGCTCTCTCCACCTGATGAGGATTGCTTGTGTTGCGATCGAAACGTCGTGATTTGTTTTATTTTATTTTTCTACCTACGTGACTTTACCGAAAGAACCAAAGAGTATGGATTTCTGCAGTCACGAAAGCTTTAAATCAAGATGAAAGGCATGTACGTTGACACATACCAGGGCACCTTTAGTGATACGGCGGTTCATTTGTAAATTAAGATTTACTTACGTTACTTATTTTAAGAATTATTTTGTTTTTTAACCTGGAAAAATCCCTTGGGAACGGAACGCATCATTGGCGTGAGTGCTCAGGGTGTCAATTGCCGCAGATAGCAAACAAGCAATGACACGTACACCAACAATACCCGCGGCTCAGAAGAGAACTGACATCCCCGATATTTTAAGGGTTCGCTGTTCATGCCCGCGGGTTATAAAGACAGACTGAAACGCCTTTACAATTTTAAGGGTTAGACTGTGAACGCTTGAGGTCCAACAAAGCCAGTTGCAAGAAGTGCATGGCTGGAGGAAGCCCAGCTGGTGTGAGCAATGTATTCATATGAAATATTAATTAAATCGTGTCTGCTCATCCGTCCATCCATTCGAAACCTCTTGCATGTGACTTTACACACACGCAAAACTCATCGACGTGAGGCGATGTAAATGTAATTTGTTCGCAAAGATAAACTCAAACTTTGCAGGGGAGGTGAGGTTTAGAGGGATATGGGACGACTGAATCATCAAATTAGTGGCTATGCACACTCAGCACTGTAGAGGCATAGTGGATCACACAGACCACTGTGAAACTCACTTCCCGTGGGCGTCGAGGTGGCAAGCTAATACCCTGGCTTGCCAGGAGGTGGTAGAGAAACATGTTTTGTCTGTATGGGATAGAGCGTTGCCCCCTCGCGGGTTTTCGTCCGTGAGCTACTGGTTTCCTCCTACGCGTAATCCACTCACCAATTGGGGCGATAACACCTTCGCGTACAGAGGGCCACAGAGCTTGGGCAATTGTTGGCACCGGCTTATGGTGTGGCCGCTACCTTCCTGCTTGTCTGTGGTTCCTCCTCGCGCATCCGAGTCGTTCTCCCTCTCTTCCCTCGACGGCGAGTGAAGGCTGTGCAACGGCGTGTTACACGTCGAATTCATTACCGTCGTGTTGAAATGCCCTTATCGAGTAAAGCATGTCAAAGCGATATAAATGTGTCTCCCTGCTCAAAAGAGATGCTCATCTCATGTTGCTACCCATAGCCCAAGAAGAAATATACGCATTTTTTTTTACCCTAGAAACTATTACAAACTAAACGAAGACGTTTTATTTTAACAGGTAAGGCCCGCTGAGCTGTATAGCTCTTTTTCAGAAGCAACCTGGCCACAAATTATGCCTCTACGAAGTAGCTTATCACGTGGAAATTCATGGCAGCCAACTACTGTTAAACGTGTGATGTTGATTCTAAATGTGGAGGGGAAAACCGGAGGCCCAGGAAAAAAATCCACACGACCTCAGGGACAGAGAGACACGCAAACTACAAATTTCCAGGCATCAGGGTCGGGATCAAACCCACGACCTCCTGTATACCAGGCGAGGTCGTTAACATCTCGCCACAGCGAGGCGTTAACTACCTCCGTGGAAGGATAATCGGTTGTGAATTTCAAACCAAGATTTGAACTCACAAATCTTCCCTCTATATGATTATCTTTGATAGCCAGAACATGGTTAAAGAGGTTTAAAGATTTAAGAATTAACTCTAGATTAGAAGGTTTAAAGATTGGCAGCTGTCCACCGCTTAAATAGGTGAAGTGGCAAAGCATGCATATAGCTTAGAACAAATTAAGCAGCTATCCATTATGCAGTTGAAACTGAGGGTGAAAATGTAAACACAATTCCTTGCATTAAACGTATGTATATGTACGTTGAACTTCTTTTGCACCGTACGTAGCCAACCGTGCCCATCGGAGGTGCTAAACGTTGTAAGATGTTGCCACTTTTTACACCGTCGCCGAGCACAGGGCCAAAAGGCCCAAGACGTCAGGGGGCCAGCCGCAAACGGCACTGTTGTCAACGTTGTCATGAACAAGGCGGGAGGACATTCCTTTCCACCAGCGGGACAAGAGCTCCGCTCGCATCAACCGCCCGGCTGGTCGACGGTGGCAGAGCGAGGAGGACAAAAGCCCAAATGTCAGGGCCAGAAAAATGGAGATGAGTGTCAACCGGAGCTCCTGTGACCCGGCGCTCCTGCGCTGCCAGAGAAATTCCACCTTCATATGGCGGGGGCCAGTATCGCCGCAGGAATCTCGCAATTATGCTCCCACTCAAAATTACCCACTCCGTAAAATAACAGGTGGAGTAAAAGTGTTAAAATATGCATTGTGCGAGACAAAAATAACAAACCTCTTAAATTAATAAAGGACTGTAATGCCGCAATGGAAGATTAAGCAGATCGTATTTAAAAGGTTCGAGAAATTGTAATATTTACACATCTAAGGCACGGTAACTGCCTTACCCCCTGAGTGCATGCCTACTGTGGCTTTTCTTTCAAAGGCAGCCATCGCATTTGATTGGTTAGACATGAATCACATTTGTAAAAAAAATTAAATCTTGTTTCAATTGTGCACGCCTCAAAGCCGTTGTGCCATTCAAACTACCAACGCCATAAATTTCGATTTCAAGCTTTCGTGACTGCAGGGATTCATCTTCTTGGTTCTTTCGGTAAAGTCACGTAGAAGGGAAGTAATACAATAATAAAATAAAAAAAAACATAATAAAATAATTATCACGACGTGTCGGCCACAACGCAAGCAGCCGTCCTCAGGTGAAGACCAGGTCTGTTGTGATTTTACCGAAAGAACCAAGAAGATACCAACGCCATAATAATGTTGAATTTTGACCACCTGTTTAGAATCACAAAGTTGATAATAACGATGAACACAGCAACAGGAATGTTGAATTTCCACTGCTGGCTCACGACAAAAAAGTTTATAATAACGATGATTGCATAAATGAATGCCCATGTAAGTCACCGTATCGTACTGTTGTCTTTCCTTGAACCTTGCTATTCCAGATTAAAGTAGTTCAATGACCACGTAGGAAAATACACGGTTTCCGCACATTCTTCGTCGTAACTAGATGCAACTGTTGAGTGTGAGGCTAATGGCGTTGGCAATCAGCCTTCACCAAAACAGACACCAACACAGCTCTGTGGCAGAAATGTTGTGTCAGTCTGCAAGTCTGTGCGTCACTGTGTGCAATAATACCGACTGTTTTATTATCCTAATTTCCACTGCCAGTCCTAATTCACAACTGTAAATTGTACGCAATTATGGTGATGGCAAATCTATCCAGAGGACAACTGCTGTTGATTTCCTACAAAGTGGTGTATCCATTTTCATCGACAAAGGGTGGATGGTGGGCCAAAAAAACCCTTGCGATATTTGTTCTGCTCGAAGGTTGTGTTCATGGTGACATTGATTGTGTATTTTTTTTCTGGTAGAAACATTTAATGCTATTCAACGATACCACGTAGGCGAGATGTTAACTCTCTCGCCTGGTACGCAGGAGATCGTGGGTTCGATCCCGACCCTGACGCCTGCTGCTGTATATTTGGAGTTTGCATGTTTGCTCTGTGGTCGCGTGGATTTCTCTCTCTACATTTAAAATCATGCACGAGGAGTATTTGTGGCTGCCGCTATGAATGCCCACGTGATGAGCCACTTTCGTTGAGCTATCGTTTGTGGCCAGGTCGCTTCTGAAAAAATAGCTAAATAGCTCAGTGGGCCTTACCTGGTGAAATAAAAAATAGTTTAGTTAATAATTTAGATATCCTGTTGAAATGTGGTCAGAAGTTTTATTTCAGTATCCATTTTAAAATGCTGGAGGGCATTGCCACAGCATACTGTTGGCTGTAAAGTCAACATTAAAAACAAAACCAACTGGTGAACTAGGGCAAGCATGTTCTAATTCGAATTACAACTTTAATTACCGATTATAAAAATAAATAAACCTAACTGTGTCTTTTAGCATATACAAATGAAATGCGCCTTTCAAATGGAAATTATTACAACACGAATGAAGGTTTAATTTTGTGAAAAAATATAATTAATACAATTGGAT